TATCAAATTTCATATCACTGATATCTAAAACGTCATTGAAATCTTCCTGAGAATCGATATTTTCTTTGTTTTTATCTCTTGAATCCGATGATAATTTATTTATACTTTCCCATGTAGTAGTATTTTCCATAGATATGTTATCATTTACTAAATCAAATATTTCTACTTCTTTTTTCATTGCATCATTTCCTTTTTTAATCTCTTCAAATTCGACATTTGAAAAATTATGTTCAACAGTTTCTTTTGCCTCTTCAAGTTTTTCCAGTGAATCTACAACTTTATTAATTATTTCTTCTTTAAAAGACATGTTTAGTTTTACATCTTTTATATCATCTACTTGTTCTGTCAAATATTTTATAGAAGTTTGTGAACTTGCTTTATTAATATCATACTTGATATTCGATTTTCTTTTCATAATAAATATGCTAGGCCTTGTTTTAATTCTAATAGGTGGTAACATATTATAATTTAATGTTATATGTGAAAATCCATCGATAGAATCAATAATATCATGAGTTTTAAGATAAGGCTTTATACTTGGTGAAAATTTGTTTCTTCCTCCTATCAAGAGGTGAGTAAATTGTAGCATTTCAGGATCATCAATAGTAAGATTTTCTTGTTTTGAATAACTGTAACATAATGAATAATCTTCCTATTAAAAAGTATCGTATGGGGATATTATTGGAGGAATTAAGCAAAATAACTTACATCCAAGAAGCATTAGTCTGTGTAAATCTTGATACTCCGGTTTGTGCAGTTAACACATCAATATGCACATGTATTGGCTCGATAGAGCCTCTCTCAAGTCTGTGTAATCTAACAATTGCTAAACCTCCAGGGTAATTAAAACTGGCCACACACAGTAGAAACATGGAGAACATAGCATTTAATAAAAGATGACTCAAGACTATTATCGCTAGAAAACTATTCCACGTCGTTTTTGCTCTGTTTTCCCATCTAATTTTCACAAGAAACAATTTTTTCATTATTACATTATATTATATATGTATAACTATAAAGATTTATAATCTAAAGCTTAATTCTTCAGTGGCAAGCTGATCTCTATAACTGTGTTAATTCTAGACTATTTTATTGATAAAAAATATATACATTTATTAATAATTATTTATTTATATTTATTTAAAATTATACATAATTATTAAAAAAAAAAAGATAGATATCAATATTTTTCTCTTATATTTTTACTAAGAGCAAAAGAACATATTAATAATTTTCATTAAATAATCATAATTTTGTAATCCTTATAATTAAAATATGTTTGAAAAAATCATGTTGATAAATTAGAATGAAATTACTGATGAAAAAATAATTAATTCGAATAAAATATATATATATATATATATATATATATATACTTACATTCTGTGACAAGCAGCAGCTGCGGCAACATTTAACAATGGGAATACATAAATTATAAATCTCAATTCCTTATGTGGTAAAAATGAAAATAACATAACGAATAGGATAGCTGGAACAGTAAGTACGCGAACCCTAATATCCCAGAACATCCCAAGAGGAATTAGAAAATATGAAAATGCTAGACCTCTTGGCAGAGCTGAATAGAAGTACCATAAAAATGGTGATGTCTATTTATGTGTTAAGTTCATTTATGTACCGATATACATATTAAAAAATTACAAATATATACTTAAAGATCTTTACGAAACGAAATCTCAATAATCGAAAGTGTCTTTTTCAGAATTTATGAGTTTATCGCATACTATAATCTGAAATTTGAATAAACACTAACCTAGTGATGTGATAGATCAAAAACAATTTTTTCTAACATCACACAATCCAAGATTATCATCTGAGATATTGAAAATCCTTAATGGAAAATCTTATTACATCTGAAAAGGATACACCCCATTCGCTGCTTTTATTAAGAATAGTATTGAAATAAAACACTTCGCCTTCTGGCCATACTAAGCGTCTCCAAAATATTGAATCTATAGCAATAGTAAGTGCTAAGAACAATATACCAGCTGGAACCGCAATTTTAAGCAGTCTAAAAATTATTATAAAACATTATTGTGTAATAAGTAATTTGGAAAAAAAATTATATAGAAGATTAGATATCTTTTTAATATAATGGTGTGAAATCGAATCGGGCTTGTATCTCAATAAAATCCAAGGAATTTTCATGGTAATATATTCAATTCACATAATGATTAGAGATTTGACTTGAAAGCTTACAAATCTGTGCAGTTTTGCAGAAGACCCCATGATGATTTTAATTTCTGTTTGTAATCTTACAGCCATATTAGGAATCAATGGTCCATGATAATATGTAAATACCTTTGTATAGAAAGTGTTTGGCTCGCTATATTGTGTAAGAGAAACAATCCCAAAAGTATGGCAAGTTCTGCTCTGAATATTATTATAGCTGCAGCCGATGACCAGATAAACAACACATGACCTTTCCTCAACCATCCAAATAAGGCCAGCAATACTGCAATATTATTCATTAATTAAAAAGAAAACGAATATATGAAATTATATCGATCATTTGCTACAACATATTTCAAAAATATGTATAAAATATAATTTTGGTGTAGTAACTACTTTTAGAAGAATAAATATATGTTCTTTTAAAATACGATCTTTTTTCCATTGTGTTTTCATTCTTCTTCTGTAAGCAACTCAAAATGACAATTTTTTTAATAAATATTAAATAGAAATGGAAGGAGCTATGAGCCGAGCAGGTTATTTGTATTAATTATATATACTTCTAAAATATACAAATAACAAACGTTTCGATCCCTATTGGATTATTATCAATGTTAGTATAATCATTATAAATTTTTAAAATTAAAAATCGTCTCTAAATCGCATTAATATGTGTAATCATTCCTAACGTAGAAACAATTTTTTAGTTATGTCATTGCTGCAAATGGACAATATGAATCAAGAGTTTTAATGTAATAAAGAAATATTAAAAAATTAGCAAAAATAGTATACATATATATAAAAGTTTTATTTTATTACCTAAAGGCATAACCATAATGTTTGGCAGTGGACGACTAAGATAGTATATAAAATGATATTGTGTCACAGTTATAGCCACGAACCATTTTGTAAATTGCACTCCAAAGATTTTTTGTAAAGCCTGTCTATATAACTTGAGCGTAGATATTACTAATAGTCCCAATGTTGCTCTTACTAAAAAAAAAATAATATCAAATCTTTTATTCTACAAAAAATATGTATGATTATTTTAAAATTATTGGATTACCTATATATTGAGCAAAAAATTTATTGAGCTTTAAGTAATTAATACATGCCACCAATGGTGAAGCAAGACCAGATACGATAATAGGTCCCAAAAAGGAACGTGGCACAACTCCAGGAAATTCATGATGATCATACTATTGGAAAAAAAATACCAAAAATATATTAACAATAAGAACAATAATATCCACTTAGTAAATATAGCCTTACTAAATATAGACTTAGTAAATCAAAAAGTTAGCTGAAAAATTAACATAGTTAAAAAAGCAAATAAAAACTTATATTTCTATTTTTTTTCAAATAAAATGTCTACTTTAAATATCTGCTTTAAATATCTACTTATCTATTTCAATAGATTCCATTAGTAGTAAATTTCAAAATAGACATTACATATTCATTTATCCTAATTGAAACATTGTTTCAAAATATTCAAATCACTGTGAAAAGTTATTAATTTTGAGAAATGTGTCACTTTTCTCAAAGCAGCAATACGAGCAGAAAAGATAACATTCGAGTAAATAAAAAAATACGAAATCGCCCGCTAATGCATTAAATAAACTCGGAGCAGCATCAGCTGATCGCGAGTTTATAAATACACGTATCTAGTACTAAATATAATACAGTACTTTTTGTGTGCTGGCTGCCTAATCACAATCAATTGGTGGATAATAATTTGTTGAATGATACCATATCCTCTAGTTGGACGATTCAATGATCTGTTTAATGTTTCAGTCATTACCTCCGTTAAATTGAAGCCGTGATAAAGAACATCATGCATTGCCTGCAGATTGAAACTCTCCTCGACTTTCGTAAATGGGCAATATAGCAAATGAACCACGGATACCAAGATAAACAGCTGATCCATGATCACCGTTGCGCATTCATGCAAAGTATACGTTGTCACTTGATAAACTCTTGGATCTTGTCATGATATAAATTCAATGTGTGTGACACAAAAGATACTTTTTTTTCGTCCAAATTACCACGTATACTATAAAATGGAGTAACTTGCGCATGCGTCTTTTTAAGTGATTCTTGAGTATGCATAATCCATTCGGTCCGTTCTTACTTCAAGATTGTCTTAAGTAAATGTCTTAGATCCGATTGCACCAACATTACTTTGATTTTAAGAAGGTTTAAGATTCTCTCTGTCTCTGTCTCTTTTTCGCTTTAAAATGAGACAGAGTTTTAAGTTTCGCTTAAAGTGTCAAAGTAATGCTGATGCAACGGGCCTTAATCTTTAAGTAGGCGCATTGACAAAATTACATAATGACTGAAGACTCTGGAGCTTCTCTTCCTGTCTCTTGCTCAAAGAGGCTAAATACTGAATCATATAATCTGTCTTGCACTCATGATATTTTTTCTTTTAAGCAGATTGTAAGTCCTAGAAAATTCAACCAGAAAATTGAAAAGGAGAAGAAAAAATAATTTTGCCTCCACGCGCCTATTTAGAGATTAAGATAATATGACTCTGTGATTAGCTTATATCTTAAGACTGTACTTAAGACGATTTTTAATGTAAGAATTGATTGAATTTATATTTAATCAGAATTTGGTCAGTTTTTCAGAAAAATTCATCTCTGTGCTCATTCATGTTTAGCCGAAAAATATTTCTATTTAGAAATGTATCGATTTGACGAGATTGATTGGCTTGACTCTCGCGCGAAAAGTAAGGATTTCGTTGCGCAAGCTCGCTTTATCGTCATCTAGTGACGAAAAGCGGCATTTATCAGCATTCATGTCTTACTTTTAGCAGCAAAAACAGTTTAATCAGTTTAGTACAATTCAGGATTCACGATAACATCAGATAACATTGTATGCAAATCGAGAAGCTAGGTAGAAAAATTCCTCTAACCTTTTACTATTCCAAAATCGAACCATGATAAAAAATTTCATATCGCAGCATTATTTGCAATACCGTTTGATCTGTCAACTGTCAAGTGTTTTCTTGCGATCTTTCGCAAATAGGTTACCGGTAAAAGAAAGTCAATTATGCTCTTTATATTCTTGAATATATTCAAGAATATGAATGTATATATTCATGAATATATTCATATTATAATAATATATACAATTTCTATTTATCATTTCTCGTTTCAAGAATTTTCTCTCAAATGAATTAGTTACAAAATAAAAACACACATGTTTATATGTGTATATATATATATATA